TACAAGCTTAACTTGTAAAGTGGCTCAGATTATGTTTTTACAGCCATATTTTGATTTAAGATATCTATGTGATAGGTATCATTTTTAAACAAGACTTAGTTTAAATGTGACCATTGACCATTTCCATGGCTCCAGGCCAGAGACAATTCATAACCATTAATTTTGTAGTCATTTGAATCATGTAAATAAATAGTGATAAAAGTAGATTTTCAGGTGGTTTTTGATGTTTATGTATAAAGGTCCCAAAAATGCGATAAGAAATTCTACCCAGACTTACCAACAGTAGTTTAGGTAATAAAATGTTCACGCATGATTGATTGCCAAATTGCAATTCGGAAGCGTAGATATGCTACCAATTTTAGGCTTGACTGGACATTAATTGGTAAACATTCCTGATGAAAACAAACATGATTACCGAGCTGACAAAGTTGCGGGCCACTAAATTTTCATATACAATAAATTCATTAACAAGACGGGGCAAATACATATTCTAAACAAGACTGCTCGTATCAGGGCGAAGCCCTGAATGTTCCGACTGCCCATTAAGGTTTTTGGAGCAGTAATATCATTAAAAAATTAAAAGTAATAAATCAAAATGAAAAATTTTTTTTCAAAAATTTTTAATTTTATTTTTTAAATCATCACACCACACGCCATATAAAATACAAAAGGATAGATTTCGCTATTTGTAACAAATCAATTATGGCAAATAAGCTTCTTTCAACCAATTTGGAACGATTTTAAGACGGATTAAATCTCCGCTTACGCGTTAATAGCGCGAAATATGTCGCGCGTTAATTGTCCCAAACAGGCCAAAATGGCAATCTTTAAACCCCCATAACTTTACGAAAAACGGTCAAAGGTGAAATATATTTTCAAATTTGAGCTCAGGACAACAATACTTTTCGAATGATTTCAAAAAAATTCCGTCAAAAATGGCTAGTTAAAAAGTCGAAATTTGTCTGAAGAAAGAAAAAACCCACCCCGAGCACAAATATTCCGTTACTTTCGTATCGAAAGTCGAAACAACAAGACTTCTCGTATCAGGGCGAAGCCCTGAAAATTTCGACTGCCTTTTAACGTTTATAGAGCAGTAATAACATAAACAACATAAAAAAATTAAGTGAAATAAAATAAAATGTGAAACCTTTTTTTCAAAAAATTTGAAAATTTTTCTATGAAAATCAACCCTCACACGCCATATAAAGTACAAAACAATAGATTTTGCTCCTTGTAACAAATCAATTATGGCAAATAGGCTCCTTTCAACCAATTTGGAACGATTTCTAAGGCGGATTAAATCTCCGCTTACGCATTATCAGCGCGAATTATTTCGCGCGTTAATTGTCCCAAATTGGTCAAAATGGCAATCTTCAAACCCTCATAAATTTACAAAAAATAATCACAGAAGAAATATCTTTTCAAATTTAAGCTCAAGGCAACAATAGCTTTCGAATGATATAAAAAAATTCCGTCAAAAATGGCTAGTTAAAAAGTCGACATTTGTCTGAAGAAAAAAAAAACCCACCCGAGCACAATTATCCGGTTACTTATCGACTGTATCGAAAGTCGGAACAATAAGTTTTATGAATAAATTTTAGCAATTTTTATCATATAGCGCTGCTTCGAGCTTTTTTATTAGATTTAAATCACAGAATTTTAAGATCCACTAATTATTCAGGTTTACAAAAGCTAAAACTCAACGAAATAAATGTGTGAATTTCTCTGGGCTCGCTTCTAACAAGGCCCATTCCGGACTTTGACATGCTATGTATATTTTAAATTAACTAGTTAACTTGAATAACCTGGGGTTGTTTGCTCGAATAATGTTCAGGCTACAACACTAAAATGGAATACTTTTAATGAGTCCTTATGATATCTATAAAATGATTAATGGATCTTATTGTTCCGGCTTTCGATAGGAAAGTAACGGAATATTTGTGCTCGGGGTGGGTTTTTTTTCTTCAGACAAATCTCGACTTTTTAACTAGCCATTTTTGACGAAACTTTGTTATATCTTTTAAAAGGTATTATTGTCCTGAGCTTAAATTTGAAAAGATATTTCACCTGTGATCCTTTTTCATAAAGTTATGAGGGTTTAAAGATTGGCATTTTGGCCAATTTGGGACAATTAACGCGCGATATATTTCGCGCTATTAACGCGTAAGCGAGATTTAATCCGTCCTAGAAATTGTTCCAAATTGGTTCAAGGAAGCTTATATGCCATAATTGATTTGTTAACAGGAACAAAATCTATCACTTAATACTTATTATGACGTGTGGGGTGATGATTTTTTTAAATCAAATTTTAGAAAAAAAAATTTCATTTTTTTATTAAATTTAATGTTTTTGTTATTACTGCTCCATGAAACTTAAAAAGCAGTCGGAACATTCAGGGCTTCGCCCTGATACGAGCAGTCTTGTTAATCTAGTTATCTGTTGATGTTCGTAAAGTTATTCCGGCGCACTGGTATATGAGAAAGTTTAATAGATATCTCCTCAAAACTCAACTTCTCTGGCTGAAGCGGATTTGGGAAATTTTATTTGACGCCATCCTCTCCCCTCAAGGATTTTACCCCTTATCAGCCAAAAGGTCCCCTTTTGGTAATATTTTAACCAGTTTGACTTCCTGTATTAAAAAACTCTCTCGGGGTTGAGAAAAACAGATCTGAATTTTTCGTTTTTCAGACTAAAGTACATGAAAATTGATGAGAAGCTGACCTTCAATTGTAACGTTAAGTTCACTATAGTTTGTGATGTTTTCCTAATTTGTCCTAGTTCAATTAACGTTTCTAGAAAAGCAAAACAACAGAAAAGTTGTCAAAATTTTTTTTCCTTATTGATAATTTTTTATATCAGTTTGTTAAAAAAATTCTGTGCTCCTTTACAGTAACAAGCTATCCTTGTTGTTCCTACTTTCAAAGAAAAGGGAATATTTTTGTATTTTTGCTCGGTGCTTTTATTCAGTCAATTTTTGCCGATCGAAATAATAGTTTTCAACAAAAACTTTTATACCCCATTGAATATATCATTTTCCCGAGTTCAAATTTGAAAAAATATTTTACCTCTGATTAATTTTTATAAAGTTCTGTGGGTTGCAAAAATGCCAAATTGGCCATGTTCTGGACTAAATTATGCGCGCTTTGAAGAATTTATTAACTCTGAAATCGTAACGTGAATTATTAATGCGTGGCGAACTATCTCGCTCAACAAAATCGCTCCAAATTGAATTGAGGCTAGGTAATTGGTCGTATTAATTTCGTACGACTCAAAATGTTACACTTTGATATTGTCCAAAATTTGTAGGTTCTCAATATTTTCTTTTCCCAAAAACTATTCGATATGAGTTGAAGGACTGTCGGAACAATCAGGGCTTTGCCCTGATATGCAAGCAGTCTTGTTTTCCTTTTAAATTGATACAATGATACTCTATCCATTATTCAGCTAAGCATTGAACATTTTTGCTTAGGCAACTTTCAATTTTACTAAAAACGCGGCTGTTACTTGTTTCAACCAGTGATGGTATATCACGGCTATTTTTGCTCCATTTTAGGCGCAAAAGCTCGAGTTTCAAAAACTCATTTTTGAGGGAAATCTCGTTGATTTTTATTTGTGGTATTATATTGATCCCCAGTCAGACGTGATTCAAGTTCTACAAACAAGGTCTAATTTTTTTGTTTGAATCTATTCGGTACTCAAACTTGAAGAAAAAATCTTAACGCAAAACTCGTTAAGGTTTGAAGTTAAAAATATTGCGGTTGATTAACTAGACTCAATTGATTATGTGAATTTGTAGGTTTATCGAGGGTAATCAGTTTAAGAAAGAAGAATTTAGCAAGACATTTGAATCGAAAATGATAATAAAACGAGTTTTTTTTATAGTTTTTTTTATTAATGATAAATATCGCGAACCATTTTTTTTGTTATTTAGATTTTACCAATATATTATTTAATATCTTGTCCAGCTTATTCCTGAATTAAAAATGTTCACCTCGTTAATTTGGTTCGGATTATTTCTAAACTTCTCAACCCATTTTTTATCCATTTGTCAATTCAAACCATTCCTAAAGATATGTTTTGGTTCATCCGTGTTTCATTAAAAATTGGTCTAAAAATTTCTTCATATATATTATATATATATATATATATATATATATATATATATATATAGAGAGAGAGAGAGAGAGAGAGAGATAGATATGTCTAGATATATGTAAATATATATATATATATATATATATATATATATATATATATATATATGTATGTATATATATGTATGTTTACATATAAATATAAATATACCTCATGAATATTAAACAATAATGAATCAATATTAACAATACTTTTTGAATGATATAAAAAATTTCTGTCAAAAATGGTAAAACTTGTCTTAAGAAAAAACCCACCCCGATTACAAAAATTCCGTTACTTTCGTTACGAAAGACGGAACAACAATTAAAAGCATTTGCATCAAGTATTCAAAAAAATATTGAAAAATGCATCACTCAGCGCTATTGGGTTCATCTCAAGAATCAACAATTTTCTAGTATAATTTTATGTAGTGTTTTTTTTAGAAAAAGGTGAAAAAAGAAAACACGCGAAGTTGTTGGATTTTTTAGAGGAGTTCCAGCTATGAAAATTATTTTAAAAAAGAAAACACGCGAAGTTGTTAGATTTTTTAGAGGAGTTCCAGCTATGGAAATTATTTTAAAATTATTTTCAACCTACCCAATAATACAAGTTTTTGAATGCGTTTTAACAATGAAAAGAGAATTATAATCAAAACTAAAGAACGCGTCATGCACAAATCACAGACCTTTTTTTCGATTATTTCTTACAATCTTGCTTCACTCGTAAACTTCATTTAGTGTTTATTTTTACTTATGGTGTGCAATATATTGTCTTGTATGCTCGAATTCTGTTAAATGCTGTGAATGGTAAATTAGTTAAAATCAAACAGTTTAATTGAGCTCTTAATTTGGTTTTTATGGTTTCAGGCACGGAATGGAGGAGTTATGTCTCTCGATTGATAAGTCTCAAATATTCTCCAGTGGTAAGTTGAATTTTTTTTTCATTAAGCCGTTAACTAACATCATTGAAACCCGTAGAAATGTTATATGTAATTTTTTTGCTCGTTATAAATTGCATAATTAAAATCAGCTTGCCGCTGAAAATTGTGAAAAATATGCAGAACATCAATTCCAGGAAGTTTTATAATAACTCAAGTTAAACAGCAATAAATTCTTGCATTCTTTAAATACTTCTGTACCCTTTTTTGCTTGAACTACAGGCCAATTCAATAAGAGTTTCTGAGAATTCCAATTTTTTTTGCAAAAAATAATGTTAAGACAGTATATCAATGATAGAACTTCTATTCTATTTGATTCAGAAGACTACCAGAAGACCTTGTTTTGACCCTTTTTTTGGAGTTTTCGAGTTTTTTCAAACTAAAAATGGCGATATGACTAAAATTCATTATCTAGTAGCGTCGAACTTAGTTTTTCAACAGAAAGATCATTTTTAACCGGGCGATTTTTCAATGGTCAAACAAAAAACTTAAATTAGTAACCAAAAGGGAATTCTTAAATAGGCGAATTTTTGAGGAGGTAGGGTGAGGCACCTACCAAATTGCGACCCAAATCTGCCCGGGATCCGATCATGATTCCGAATAGAACTGTGGAATTTATGCAGATAATCGAACGCATTTTTGTTCCGACTTTCGATACAAAAGTAACGGAATATTTTTGCTCGGGGTGGGTTTTTTTTTCTTCAGACAAATTTCGACTTTTTAACTAGCCATTTTTGACGGAATTTTTTAAATATTTTTCAAAAGTTATTGTTGTCTTGAGCTCAAATTTGAAAAGAAATTTCACCTGTGATCATTTTTCGTAAAGTTATGGGGGTTTAAAGATTGCCATTTTGGCCAATTTGGGACAATTACTTTTTATAGTTTTACAGCTACAACGAGCACTTATTTACAATATGTACCAACTTCAAGTTCGATTAAATTTTCCCCTTTTTTGTAAATAATCCACTCTAATCCCTCTGCTGGACAAAACCGATTCGAACACAGTTGTGACAGGTTTATATAAACATTTTATAATTGTTCCACTTTGATAGCTAATTTACTTGGATTTTTCCCCCACTTAATTTTTGAATTGACAATTCGCAGCTGTACTTTTCTCAACTTAAAATTGCAAAATAACCGAGCTTGTAGTGCAAAACAAGACTGCTTGTGTTCTTGATGGCGTGGCAACCTTATTCAGCCCAGAAAAATTACCAAAAAAGATTGCATGCAGTTCTTAAGCAGGGGCACAACAGCGGTTCTCCCTGACGAGCTGAACAGCTCGTGTGTTGGTCCTTTCCCTATGGGATAAATCGTCCTAACTTTAACTTGAATGTTTCGACTGCCACTGATCGTCGATCGCAAGCTTTTTGTAAAAATTTCTAATGTAATTTTAGAAAAAATTAGAAAATTTTGAATAAAGTTTTTTTCAATGAAAAAAATACTTTATGTGTTTTAAGTCGTACTTAAGTCTTATTTAGGTTTTAAGTCGTATTTATGTGTTTTAAAAGCCTATTTATAAAAATTTCGGTTAGGCAGTCAGGTTTTCGGGTTTTATGATCTTTTGAAAGACCTCGAAAATGAGTTAGGACTGGAGTGTAACTCATAGAGTAATTTCGGATAGGGTACACCGTCTGCTCGTCACGCTATCTTATTTTCGGCCGGATAGATTCGTGCAACTTCTTAGTCTAATACCGATCCTAATCTTACTCTTATACTATCTAGTCTCAGGTTGTTTAACTAGTCTCTGCTAGGCTCAATAGATCTAGGGTATACTGGTTTATTGCGGCTGCTGAAGTGCTCGGGAGAGTCCAACTAATTTCTAAGTTAAATTCAAATCTCTCTGGTGCTGAAATTACAAGTAACTTCAGCACTTACAAATAAGTGGGTTGTTAGTTAGATGGATCATGATTGGTTAATATTAAATACTTTACATTGGTAAAACATTTAATTTATCCAATCATAAAATATAGTTTAGATCAGGTTCCACCCATCCGGGTTTTACAGAGTTTTTTAGAACAGTTCTTTTGTAGTTCAAGGATGGATGATGGACGTTGGTATTTGGCGAACATCATTTTTCTTTTGTTTCCTTTTTGTTAAGGAAGTTCCAGGGATCTGGAATTGAGGACACAAGACGTTGTGTTCTTCTTGTGACAACGACTGAGTCTCTGCAACAGCATCAATTCTGGTTTCAGAATGGTTGGCTATGTCAGGTTTTTCTGTTCTTCGGAGAGAACTTCTTTTGTGTTTGATCTAGCTCGGGAATGGCGTGGAGATTGTGCGTGGAGGGGATGCCTGGTTACTCGGATCTGTACGTATACTTGAACATCGAGGTGGTCATTGGTCTAGTTCAATGAAGTCCTTTTCTGCGAGGTCAAGTCGTACTCTAAATCCTTTGAGTTGTGATTGTGAGCGGCATATCGATTATAGTTGGTCATTCTCTCTCGAGTGTAGTGAGGTCGTCTTGTCTTTTGATGTTCGTCCTTGGTGTTGTATTCTGATCTATATATTGCATCATGTGATTTTACATTTTATAAAACTTTTATTAATTTAATATTTTTTAATTATGATTTTAGTTAGTTGTTTTCACAAAAGCTTTTTGTTTTAGTTCGGTTATTTTGAAGAGTTACTCACCCTTGAGTAGCTCTTATTAAAAATAAAGGTGTGGTCACAAAGCGTGGATGTAGCACGGTGGGTTAGGCCGGCTATAGAGCATGCTCAGGACGTCCTTTCCTGGTGGGTTAGGCCAGGTGTGGGAGTATGATTTCATGCGGTTTTTATGAGGGGTCCTGTTATGTGACAACATTTTATGTTGGGTTTGTTGTGGTTTTACTTATGTTTTGTTGGTTATGTACTTTTTCCAAAAAGCAAATTGTTTGTGGTATGGGTTTGTCTTTTGACTTTTTTGTGTTTTATTATTTCTTTCTAAGACTTTGTAATAGTCTTCAAAAGAATAAATTATCCAGTTTTAAACTGGGTTAATCCGGTTTGGGTACCGTTGGTTTCCTTTTCTTAGTCATGCTGTTATTTTATGATTTGTGGTATTTAGTAAGCTGCGTTGGTTAGTTTTGTTTAGTATATGATTCCTTTCCAACCGGGTGAAAGGAAAGTTTGAAACTTGTTATTATTTGTTAGAGTTGTTGAGTGTGAAAACTTGAAACTGAAATTCATTATTTTAAACAATTCTTCGTGGGCGAGCTGTGCGAGTGTGGATAGAATTTCTGTGCGAATGAATGAAAATATCAAAAGGTTAGTACTGCAATTGCATTTTATTAATTTACTGCATAGAATTTGGAAATTTACTGCTAGTAATGGGGGAATTTTAAGATACAAATTTTCATCATATGTAGATTTACTGCTTTTAGGGGAAAATTTTATAAATTAATTTACTGCATTGGTATTATATTTATTTAATTGTTGGTGCAAAAGTTAAATAGGGTTTTAAATAGTTTTGAAGAAGTTTGCTATTTTTTATTTTTCTTTTGTGAATTTTTCAGATGATTGAAGATGAAGGCTAAAAATCTAAAGAAAACATGAATAAGGAATGGTGAGTTTTTCAATATTTTAATTAGTTAGTAATATTCATTTAGTTCATACTTACCTGTTAGTCGTCGGGGAAAAAACCGTGGGGGAAGATATCGTGAATTAGTTCTGAAGTTGTTAGTAGTTTAGCTAAGATGCGGATGATATTTTTAGTTTGAAGTAGTGGCCAAAGCAATTGAAGTGCCTTAATAGTGGTTAGTTCTTCAGTGCCTACTGCAAACTCATAAGGTGTGTTTTGGATTAAGTTATATAACTTGTGGTTAAATTTAGTGTTGTGGATGAATTCTAAAATGGGGATTTCTATAGGCTGTACAAACTCGTGCGGGATAAGGAAGGGTCGGGATTCTTCTGCGTTGAAGGTCTTGGTGATGGGGCAGAAAATATACATTTGGGTTATGGGGTCATAATTACGAAGAATACCATGAAGGTTAGTATTTTTAATACAATATGTGAAATTTAGGAAATACGGTGAAGTGTATTTTGAATTGATGAATTGAAAGCGATGGTGTGGTTGTCTAGAGGGTGTGTGGAGGTCAAAGTGATTTTGGATGAAACGATAGTAACTGTATGTATGTGTTTGTTTAGTTCGCAACATAATATCGTGTGAGCAGTGTAAATCTCTTTCGTGTGGTGCAAGGAAATGAAAGGTTAGTGAAAAGATTTGGAAGCGTTCTTTAAAACTTTCGTACGCTTGTGTGCTTGTTAGTGCTTCTGAAATAATGTGATCAAACTTTCGGTCGAAGATGTTTAGTGTAAATACATATGGTGTCTTGATGAAAAATTTCTCGGTGATTTGTGGGTTAGCGAAGCGATCGTCGTCTAAGAATTGATCTTGGTTAGCTCTGATGATGTTGTGATCATAGTATTCTAGTGTGTATTCGTTAGCTCTAGGTGCAGTGTGTATTTTTAGTGATTTTTTATATCCAACGTAAGTAAATTGTCTAGCGGTGAGTGGTGTAGTTAGTCGATATAGCATGTCTTTGTTTCGGTCTATATCAATGGATGTGTTAGTTAAAGGTAAGCAAAGAGGGTTAGTGAAATGATAGTATGAGGTCCAAGAGAGAGTGGGCATTAAAACGTATTCGTCTACAAAGTTGCGTGTTTCGTTAGCGTCATGAGGGGTGTTTAAGGTGTATTGTGGAAATGAGGGTAAAGTGATGGCTAAAAATTCTCTAGTGTTAGTATGTTGGGGGTGGTTGATGTATTCTCGGGCTGTTCCTGGTTTTGCTGGGAAAGGATGGTTGGGGAACTTTCTTTTAAAAGTGCGATAAGCTCTATTAGTGTTGAGTGAGGATTCAGTTGATGTGGATGATGGTGCTAATGATTCGGTATAATTTGAAGAGGGTGTAGGGGGATTGGATGAATTTGTAGTGGAGGAGATTTGGTTTATGGTCGGGGTGTTAAGGTGGTAGGGTTGTTGTTGGAGGGTAATAAAATTGTCTAGC